ACTATCTTCAAGTGTGACATCCAGAATCAACTCTAAAGCATACAGTTTTTCGTTTTCTTCAACGAAGCCATCCATAATCCGTAAGCCATTCATTTCTCCAATATCTTGTATAAATTCCCTCAAACCCTTGTCAAATCCCCCTCCATTTTCCCCATTGAACACAACCTGTGCAAATAGGTCGTAAATTTTCGCGTCTTTACAAAAAGGAGACAAAAAAAATGCGAATAAGACAAATAAGAAAAGTTGGAAATTGTGTAGATTTTTAGTGTTTTCGATTTAATTTCTTAATTTCTATTTTTAACTTAATTTTGAGCGGGAATCGATTACGGGGGATTATGAAAGAATTGTACAGGAGCTGGGAAAGCTGAAAAGCTGAAAAGCTGAAAGCTGAAAGCTGAAAAGCTCATTCGCTGAAAAGAAAAGTTGTTCGAGCTTTCTATGGGGAGGACAAAGCTGATACTCACTGTGAGTCACTGTAGAATGACTAAATGATTTTTCATGCGGTAACAAAGAGATCACGGGTGGAATTCCGCCAAAGAATCACCATTTAGGACTCTTGACGACATTTTAGAGCCGTATTCTTAGCCCTTTTCCCTTCCCAGCTCCGTCTCACTGCCCTCCTAGCCTATGAATTTCGATCCTTCCCAAACATCGATTTTTCTAGACTCTAAAGGGATTAAAAGCCTCTGTGAGCTCCAGATCGTAGCTTTTGGAAAGAATATACTTTATTTCTTTCGAATAAGATATTCTTTGACCGATGATCCAGATCCCAGTATCTTTGATCTCAATTTCCAAGTTATCCTTGATTTCTTATACCGAAAATCGTCTATGAGTTCCAGATCAGCCTTTGCAATAACATACAACATCTCTATTCTTGCACAAAGTTGTTATAAAGCTTCGATCTTTCTCGCTCATCGCTGTCCGAATGGATTTTCGCTGTGCGAATGGATTTTCGGCGTGAAAAAGGGGCAGACACACAGCGTACTACAGTACGACAGTCGAATGAAATCCGTTTTTTGACTTGTTTGTAGAAAAACTAAAGAACTGGCTTTTGAAAATGATGAACTGGAGATGGTAGGCAGGGCTGATGGGGGACACCGAGAATTCGCATTAGACACGCTCATTAGACATCTCTTCTCAACCATCTACCCATTTCTTTTCCCCTTTCATTTATTCCCCTTTTCCTTTCCCCTACATTTTCTTTTCCATTTCATCTTTTCCCCCCTTTCAACTACAGCACTCAAGAGCCTCCCGCAAACCCCGATTTTTTCGCGTTTTTTTTTTGCCTCCATCTTGTGATCGATTTTGTGATTTTATGATTCGAATTCGGGATCGGGATTTGAAAAAAAAATGACTCACAATGGTACTCTTTCTTTCTCATAATCGCGTTGGTACCTTAAAAAGATTATTTAAGTCAATATTAGATCACCAGATCAACAATGGATCTCCAAAAAAACTAGTATCGTATCAACTACCGACTGACTTTTGAAATCATCAATCATAAGATCAGATTTCGGCTTGTTTTAGCTGAAAAATGAACAAAGAATTGGATAATAACTTGGTCGCTAAGTTAGCCAATAGTTAGCCAATAGTTAGCCAATAGTTAGCCAATAGTTAGCCAATAGTTAGCCAATAGTTAGCCAATAGTTAACCAATAGTTAGCCAATAGTTAACCAATAGTTAGCCAATAGTTAGCCAATAGTTAGCCAATACAATTTTCGATTTTGTTGAAGCTTGAGCTTGAGCTTGAGCTTGAGCTTGAGCTTGAGCTTCAAAAATTGAGGCTCACTTTGGGCAGCTGAGGCAGCGCACTTGAGGCAGCGCTAAAAAGCCAATGAAATTGGTGATTTCCATCGATTAAAATTCATTCATTTCAAAACGATCTTTACCTTAAAAATCCTAAAACAACATTTGGAAAGTGATTTTTTTTTCTTCTTTTCTTTTCTTGGTCACTCCAGAACATTTTCCATTTCAAGAAGTTTGTAAGGGATTTTTCTCTCAAATGTCACCCACCTGAAAACAATTTAGGCCTCTTGAGTGAAGCGAAAGGCCTAAAAAAGCAAAAAAAGAGTCTTGTCTTGTCGAAAATTTGCAAGTCTTGATACTTTCTATTGTAGAAACTATGAAATTTCGCCCCTCTCTCTCTCTCTCTCTGTGTTCATTTTATGCAATTTTTGTCTCTTTTTTTGTATCTTTTTTGTCTCTTTAAACGGTTTTCCCGGGTCTCGCCCTTGTATTTCTCAAGTGTCGTGAGTCATTGACTTTCTTTGAAATTGATTGGTTTGCATTTTTGAAGATCTAGCATCTATTTAAAGAGGTTTAAAATTGATTTAAAGAGGTTTAAACTTGATTTAAGAGGTTTAAACTTGATTTAAAGATGTTTTAACTTGGTTTAAAGAGGTTTAAACTTGATTTAAAGAGGTTTAAACTTGATTTAAAGAGGTTTAAGCATGATTGAAAGCGTTTTAGCCTGATTGAAAGCGTTTTAACTTGATTTAAGAGGTTTAAACTTGATTTAAAGAGATTTGGACATGATTTAAAGAGGTTTAAACTTGATTGAAAGCGTTTTAACTTGATTGAAAGCGTTTTAACTTGACTGAAAGGCGTTTTAACTTGTTGTTTTAAAGAAACCAGATCCAATGTCGACTCCTTGATCCGTTTTTTAAGCATTTAGCCCATCACATTCATCTCATTTTTCAGTGAAACTTTTTTAAATGCATGATCTTCCATCATTTTTAACCAAGTTTCCCATTTAAAAAACAGCTATAAACATCGCCCTTCTCGTTCATAATTCCCATTTCCCCTTCGCCTTCTCGAGTGCCTGTGGTTCAGTGGTAGAGTGTTCGGCTGCCAGGGGGCCAGCTCAGACGGGTAGTCCGGGTTCGGTTCCCGTCGGCGCAAATTGCACAACATTTTTTAATCTTTTTCACATAAGTTAATTTGAATTCTTGATTTCATCAGATTTCATTCAAATTATTCAAATTTTCTCAGATTTCATCAGACTATTCAGATTTCATTCAAACATCTATCCCTATTCTTTAATTTCATTCATTTATCTTTCCGATCAATCAATAAACGATATTGTGCTTGAGTTACAAAAACATTTGTTCAATATCGATTCAATGGATCACATTCGGAGGGGAATTAGAAGAGGAAAACCTGTCAGATTTGTGTGCTGTCCTCTCTATCTCGTCACACAATCCCCAATCGAATGCTTTGGCAGAAAAAACAAAACTAAACAAATCGTTGCCCAGCCCAGCGCAAGTCTCCTTGTCTCCAGAAACAATTGTGATTTCAAATTGTTGGCCACCTTGGCTTTAGCTTTAGCTTTACCTTGGTCTAGTCTTGATTAAGCCAAAGCCAGCCAAAGCCAGCCAAAGCCAGCCAAAGCCAGCCAAAGCCAGCCAAAGCCAGCCAAAGCCAGCCAAAGCCAGCCAAAGCCAGCCAAAGCCAGCCAAAGCCAGCCAAAGCCAGCCAAAGCCAGCCAAAGCCAGCCAAAGCCAGCCAAAGCCAGCCAAAGCCAGCCAAAGCCAGCCAAAGCCAGCCAAAGCCAGCCAAAGCCAGCCAAAGCCAGCCAAAGCCAGCCAAAGCCAGCCAAAGCCAGCCAAAGCCAGCCAAAGCCAGCCAAAGCCAGCCAAAGCCAGCCAAAGCCAGCCAAAGCCAGCCAAAGCCAGCCAAAGCCTTTGAAACTCTCCATTCCCTTTCCTTTTTGCTTTTGTTTAAAACTAATCAATTTGTTCATTGATTGGACTGTTTGTCCTTTTTCCTCTTTCCAATCTTTCCAATCCTTTCAATCCGTTCTTTCAATCGTTTCTGACGTTTTTGTATTCGATTTCCCCTTCAAATCCTTCTCGTATTTGATCTGTTTGTTGGTTAGATGGGAGGAGAAGAGAAATCAACGAGAAATCCCTCAAAATGACACATCTGACGGGAAAGAGAAAGAGAAAAGACTTCTCGCACATTTAACACTTAATCATTGCCTCGAAATTTCATTGCTTATTATAGTCTATACAATTCTCTGCATCACTTTTCCTTTAGATCCCTTTCGATATCCGAATTGCTATTGTCCAAATTGCCATTGTCCGAATGATTTCATTTCCCTAGCATAGACTTTTATTCTGTCCCGGATTTACGGTCAAATTGATAAACAAATCCTTTCTAGTATCTTCAAACTGATAAACAAACCCTTTCTAATACCAGAATCTACTTAATCCATTCATTTCTTTAATACAACCTACGATAGAATGACGCAGTGACGCAGATCATCAACTCTGCAAAACCCTTTCCCCATTTCAAGTGTTTTGGATTTCGATGCCTACATAACGTCGATTGTACCTGGAATTGACAGAAAACTTCGACACTCTTTCATCTTTCCACCGCTAAGTGCACTTTCTGAGTGATTTCTTGATAAATCTTCACCATTTCTTTTCCTTGATCCTTTTTGACGAAATTAGCACTCCCTTTCCCCATCACTGCTCCCTAAATTCCAAAAAACTACTTCATTTTTTTTGCGTACATTCAATCCAATTAACGAAATCCTTTCGAAATCCTGTTATATGGCTTATTTCGAAGTGAAAGATCAAGAAAAGCTTGTTGAAATGATAGTTTTTAGCTTTGAAGTCATAGATTTTAGCTTTGAAGTCATAGATTTTAGCTTTGAAATGATAATTTTTGGCTTTGAAATGATAGTTTTTAGTTTTGAAGTCATAGATTTCAGCTTTTAGTTTAAAAGAAAGGCTTTAAATTGGATAGAAAGCTAAAAAGCTAGAGATCTGAATCTTGACCTATCTCTTGTCTAAGCTAGAAAGCTAAAAAGCTAGAAATCTGAAGCTTGAACCATCTCTTACCCAAAAACTCTGTCTAAAACTAGTCTAAACTGTCTGTTCAATTGCTCTGATCTCTTATATCTATTTCTGAACTATTCTTGAACATTTGAAAGCTTTAATTACTTTCGCTGATCACTGTATTTGTTCGCTGTACTTGTTCTCTTCAAAACCATCATGCCATTTGCAGCTTGGGCCTTTTCGTGGCTCACGATAGCGGGACTGAAGCGCACGATTGTTGGCCAGGCGGTGGGTGGTGGCGCTTTAGAGTGGACAAGCCAGCAGCTCGAGGGGCCTTCCGTGGAGAAACATCCTCGTTTATCCCTACCCACCGCATCTCCCCTCACTCTGCACGCATTAATGGCCGCACAAGTGATGGCCACGCCAGGCGGCGATCCTGCAATCCCCTATGTGTCACAGTGGGCCCCACAAGTGCCCAGTGCTCAAAGTATACCCACACATGACGTCATCGGAAAGGTAGAGCTTTCAACAGCTACACTAGTAGATTGAGATACTGTCCGGCTGCCGAAAATTACAGCAGTTCAATTCAAAGTTACCGTTGAAAAGCATCTCGTTCATCTAATAGAGTAGCGAATCGAGGTTTTAGCAAACTACAGTACTCGCTTAGGACTCTGAATGAATTACAAGAGCTAGGAGCTAAAGATTTCTATATTCTTTTCTTTTTAGGCGATCCTGGGTGGCACTGGGTCTTCACAGCTAGATATAGCTGGTGGTACACAACAATCGCCGAACTCAGTGCTTCGTGTCATCATCGAGAATATGCTCTACCCAGTCACACTTGATGTTCTGCATGGGGTGAGTTGAATATACAGTAGGACAAGATTCCCGGCTAAGCCAAAGGCTAGGCTAAAGCTTAGGCTTAGGCTTAGGCAGCTTAGCCATAATCATGGCTATTCCAGGCCAGGTTAAAGGATGGATTTGTAGGTTAGGGTCAGGTCTATGACCCAGGCTTGGCCTCGCCCCGGCTTGACCCGGCCTAGGCTTGACCTGGCCTAGGCTTGACCTGGCCTAGGCTTGACCTGGCCTAGGCTTGACCTGGCCTAGGCTTGACCTGGCCTAGGCTTGACCTGGCCTAGGCTTGACCTGGCCTAGGCTTGACCTGATCCAGCCTTCTCTATCCTGGAGGATCAGACGGGTAATAGACGACCCTAAACGACTACCGTAACCAATCCGATACTGTACAATTGAGTTACTGTATACTGTGTCAATCCAATTGGGGATTTTACTACCTTAACCCAGACATGTCCCCATTTCCAGATCTTCTCCCGTTTCGGCAAAGTCCTTCGAATCATCACTTTCAATAAAAACAGTGAGTTTTTCAGGATTCAACGATTTTTAGTATATAAATCTATCTATTCGATCATTTTCAGACACTTTCCAAGCCCTTGTCCAACTCAGTGAGGCCACATCGGCACAAGTGGCTCGACAAGCCTTGGACAATCAGGTACAATGTTACCTGATCACTGAAGATTACTATAACCGATTTCTAGAATGTTTACAATGGTTGCTGCACTCTTCGCATCGATTACAGCAAGCTGGCGACGCTAAATGTCAAGTACAACAATGACAAGAGCAGAGATTACACGAATCCGAATCTTCCATCCGGAGAGCTGACATTAGAGCAACAGCTGAGCTTGGGTGAGTGAAAGAGTACTGTAGACTGTAGTCAACACAAGGAGTATTGTAATCAAAGCTTTTTATAGAAGTCATAGATGACTCTGAGGTTTGGATGAGTAGCCAAGTCAGTCTCCAGAGTGTAATCGAGACACGATAGAAGATTTAGATGATCCAAAGCGTGTAGAGTACTGTAGGCGTACTGTAGGCTATTGCAATCAATGTCTACAGAATAAAGAAAGTGCTGAAACATGAGCTACTTCAAAAAGAGAATGGTTTACTGTACTCCAGACTCTGGTAAACGAAAGGAGTACTGTAGAAGGCTTTGTAGGCTTTATAGCAGGCTAAAAAGTTTGTAGCTTGGCCAGAAAGCTTGTTGCTTAGCTATAAAGCTTGTTGCTAAGCGATAAAGCTTTGTAGCTTTGAATCTCTAGAGTACTGTAGCCAAATTACCTTCTAGAACTCAAAGATTGTTTTTCAGTGTCAGCCGCTTTACCACCCGGCTCCATTGTCCCGTCGTTCGCTTTCCCGTTTGGCTCGGCTGCACCGACGGCTTTCATCGCTCCACAACAAGCGGCTGCACTCACAACTGGTTTGTCAACTGAATTCTGTAATATATCATAATCTACTATATAAAAGAGCTATGTCTGTCTGTCCGTCCGTCTGTTCGTCTGTCTGTCTGTCCGCCCGTCTGTCTGTCTGTCCGTCTGTCTGTCCGTCTGTCTGTCTGTCTGTCCGTCTGTCTGTCTGCCTGTCTGTCTGTCCGTCTGTCTGTCTGCCTGTCTGTCTGTCCGTCTGTCTGTCTGCCTGTCTGTCCGCCCGTCTGTCTGTCCGTCTGTCTCTCTCGTCGTTACGTAAAAGGTTTTTGAATTTTTGAAAAACTAAAAGTCTCGACGCGGACGGGAGTCGAACCCGGGTCGTCTTGGCTAGAGACAAGTGGGCTCGCACCGCGCCATGGGATGGCCGAGTGGCTAAGGCGCGCGTCTCTCAAGCGAACGGAAGAGAGAGGTCGCTGGTTCGACTCCTCTAGCCGCTAATTCTTTTGCTTTTTTGAGCTAAAAATTTGGCTACGATTATTCTAATAGCTGCGGTTATTGTAATGGTATTCTCTATTCTAATGGCTCTGTTCACGAGCACCGCACTAACCCCGAAAAATTGGTTTTTTTCCAATTTTTTCGCGTTAATTGAATTTTCGCATCAATTTTCATTGAGAATTGAATAAAAATCTAGAAAAATCGATGAGCATTGTTTTCTATTAGAATCGTTACAGTATTTAGATATCTAGATTGAATTCTCTCATTCACAAATGTTCCAGAAAGTCTGGCAGCAGCCAACTCAGTCTCTCCATTCTTGAGCAGTCTCGGCGCCACGTCGGCGCTCGGTGTCAACGGTTTAACTCAATCCGCGTTAACGAACGGATTACGGTAGGGTTTTAGAAAGATATTTGCAAAATTATACAGTTTTTTTATATCTAAATTCACTTATTCTATGTTGAAAATCGAGTTTTCCAAAAAAATTTCCATTTTTTCAACAAAATTGGCTAGTTTTTAATTGCTGGCTAGTTTTTAAACAATTTTTGATTTAAATTTAAAGAAATTAACATCTTAAACAACGATCTTTACACCTTTACAGCTTTCCAATGACTTTGCTGAACGTGACCAGCGTCGTCCTTGTGTCAAATCTTGATGAGAACGTGAGTACCTTTTCAGAAAAATAAACCCCGAAAAATGAAAGGGATTCAATCAAAGCATTAGATTTAGATCCAAAAAAAACAAACTTAAATTCATTTAATCCAAATTTGATCCATTCAAAGCTTTGATTAAATCCCGAGCAATCCTCTGAGATCTCTCTCTCTTTCTCTCTCTCTTTCTTTTGCCCCACTTCTTCCTCTTTCACTCCTCCCCGAAAACCGTCACTCAGCCATCTCTCTCTCTCTTGCTCTCACTATTGCCTAATTTTCTTGCAAAAATAACTACAAAAAGTTGGAGACCGGACTCGAACCAGCACCGGGACTCTCGACCAGCTCGACTGGCAACCTGACGCGCTAACCACTCGGCCACCCCCTAGCGCAGTGGCGAAGCGGACGTCTCTCGCTCGAATTCCCTCGTCTCTCGCTCGAGTTTGATCCCGGTCTCGACCTTTCTCCTCGATTTTTTCTCTTTTTTTTTGCTTAGATTTCTAACAACTTTCTAGAAATCGATTCTAGACCCTGTCCTTCTTAGCTTTGCCTTTTCCTTCACTCAATTCCTATCTCTAAGTGTTGATTCCCTAGAAATCGGCTTTTCTTCTGTCAATCTTTTCTGTTTTTGAGTGTAACTCTGATGAAACGACGAAAAATCGAATTTTTATGGCCGGCAATTCAACCAGAATGCTCAGTTTTGCAGCCAAATGCAGCCAAATGCGCTAACCAGTCGACCGCGGAAGGGGAAAAGTCCCGAAAAGAGATCTCAACGAAAAACCCCATTTTTTTTGCCGAAATTTCGTAAGATTTTAATATTTTTCGGGCAAGCTGGATGTCACGCTAGCCCCTAGAAATGGTAGATTTTGAATTGGATCGAAAAATTTCCGTTCACCCGGCTCGATCGAAACTCGACGAAAAACTCGCGTAAACTTTCGCCATCTGGTGCACTCTTTCGTTTTCTGTCTGGATACAGTAATCTGTGCTTATTTACCGTACAATCAGTGTGTCAGATGGTTAAAGTTTGGGCAAAGTAAGGACAAAGTTCATCTCTCGACGCTATCCTTCTTCCTCTCTCTCACTCACTCGAATCTAAGTCTATATCGAAATCTGTATCTATTTTTTTGATTTCTCTAAAACTATATTCATTTCTCTATCCAGAAAAGAAGTTTATTTGTTTTTTTTTATTTTTTCTATCTCCATTTTTTTCCAATTTTCAGAAGGCGACTCCAGATGCTCTGTTCACTCTCTTCGGTACGTGTTTCTTCCCTGCTGTCCCCTAATAAGCTAAAAACTAAGATTTTCCTACCTTCTAAACAGAATTCAAACAAAAATGAAGCAAAAAATTAGACTTTCAAGAAAAAGCAAAACATTTGACCAGGCTCGGACTCGAACCCGAGCCCTACTAGGGAGATTAGCTTCGAAAACGAGCGCGCTAGCCACTAGGCCATGATGCAATCGAGGCCTTGGAGAGAAAATCGCGTGTTCCTTTTAAAAAAGCAAAACTTTCGACCACAGCCGGACTCGAACCTGAGCCTTACTAGGGAGACTAGCTTTGAAAACGGGCGCCTTAACCAGTAGGCCATGATGCAGCACGGGCTTGGGCGAGAAAATCACGCTTAAAATGTTTTCCTTTCAAAAAGTTTATTAGAATTTTTCCGCTTTCAACATTTTTTTAACCAAAAAAAACCACAAACACCTCTTTTTTTTACCACTGAAAATTTTCCATTTCCAATTTCCGATAAACGAGAATATCATTTCCTGGCTTTCGTTTAGCGATTAGATCTCGAAATCACCGTTTTCTATTTTCCAGGCGTCTACGGCGATGTGCTACGGGTGAAAATTTTGTTCAACAAAAAGGACAATGCTTTAATTCAATTCTCCGAGCCACAACAAGCGCAGCTGGGTGAGTGCGAATGGAATTGAGGTGGAACGCCGATCAGACGTCAGTCTGATCACAGTTCTACAAAAGAAAATTCATTTTCCCCAGCTAGAAAGTGCACTGTAAGGTTAGGCTTTGCATAACTCGATTTTTTGCATAAATTTCCTTAGATTTTGATGTTTTTCGGGCAAACTGGATGTCATGCTATCCCTTAGAAATAATAGATTTTAAATTCAATCAAAAACAAAAAAATTTTGGCTTACCCGACTCCTCGACAAAAAATCGTGAAAATCGACCGACTTCTGGTCGTTTTCTGACCAGAATTCGATTTGTTTTCTGGTCTGGTTTACAAAATTCTTTTAATCTGACAGAAACAAGGTCAAAACCTGGCTTCTAGCTTGACTTTACTGGTCTTACTGTAGTCTCAAAAAAAAAACCCCGATTTTTCCTCATTTTTTAATCACTTTTTTCCAAGCGCCCGTTAAAGCTAGAAATATGTTTTATATCTCAAAAAATTCGCCTATCTTTCTACTTTAATTTGATAGGTAAATGAGGAAAAAGAAGCGTACTGATGCCGAGTTATGAGCGTTTGTTTGAGAGCAAATATTTAGACGACGAAACATTTCTATAAAGGACTTTTATTAGAGGATTTTATAAAATTTTATTGAAGATTTTATAGGAAATTTTATTAAAATAGGCTTCTATTAAAGGATTTACAGTAATTAAATATGTAAAAGCAAAGAAAATCTGAAATTTAAGCAATGCAACACCTTGACAAGATCAAATGGAACGACAAAGTGGTTCGAGTGGCCGCGTCCAAGCATACGACTGTTCAAATGCCAAAGGTTTGCAAGAAACTACCCTTTTAAAGCCCAAAATTCGATCGCTAACCGTAATTAGCGTCTTTAAGTCATAAATTGCTTTTTCAGGAAGGCCAACCTGACGCTGGCCTCACTCGAGACTATGCCCACTCTCCCCTGCATCGCTTCAAAAAGCCTGGTACGTGAAAAGCTCAAATTTTCCATCCTAATACTTCAAACCGGACTCGAACCAGGGTTAGAACTCGACCGGGCTCGATTAGCAGCCATCCGTGTGGCACACTGCACAAAAAAGGCGTCTCGAATAGCCCCCAAGCTATGGTCCGAGTTCGATCCCGGTCTCGACCTTTGTCCTCAAAATCAAATCAATTTTTAGGCAGTAAAAACTATATGAATATCTATCCACCATCATCGACTCTTCACCTCTCAAATATCCCACCCAACATCACCGAAGAGTTTTTGGCGCAAGCTTTCGTCGAGAATGGCTTTCAACCCAAAGCTTTCAAGTTTTTCCCGTGAGTTTTTTTTTTGCCGTTTTCCCCCCAACAAAAAGTATTGTATGCAATCCAAGGATTACTGTAATCCAGGGATTACTGTAAGTCAATCTATAGAGTTCACAGATGGTGAAAGTTTAGGCATTTTTATAGAAGTGTATAAAAAGTTCGAAAAAATTTTTTCTTTTTTGATTTAAAAAAATCTAATTTCTTTAAAACTTTACATGATATCCAGATCGACGAAAAAAAGAATAAAAATCGAATAATTGCTTGAAAAAGGTGAACAAAAAGCCTTGATTTGCTTCCGAACGGATCCATCGGCCGAAACCGGCTTTTACAGGGTCTCAAAATGCCAAATTGGTTTCTCTAGAATGCCGGGATTGCTGTAAAAGCTGTAAAAGCTGTAAAAGCTGTAAAAGCTGTAAAAGCTGTAAAAGAGTTTAAAGAACCAAATTCTGCGTTTCAGAAAAGATCACAAGATGGCGTTGTTGCAGTTGGATGACGTTGAGCAATCGATCGACGCGCTTATCGCCATGCACAATTATAAATTGGCCGAAAACGCGCATTTAAGAGTTTCCTTCTCGAAATCGGGCATATAAAAGGAAAGAAAAAGATTGTTTTCGATTTTTTCTTTTCCAAAATCAGAAGATCTTTCAAATTACACCAAAAAATATTACTCAAAGACGGGATTTCTTTTCCCCTATCTTTCTGTTCAAAAAAATCAATTCAAAAAAGGTTTTGCTAGAAAAAAGCTCGATATTTTTAGAGTTCTAAAGAATATCTTAAAGATATTGTAACGTTAAAGTACTATAGAGTACTATAGAGTACTGTAAAGTTACCGTAATCTCGCTCACAGTACTTTTCATAGAAATCTAAAGATATTCAGCTTTTCACAGCTTTCCCTTACTTCTCCAACCCCTTCCCAGTAAATGTTAAACTTTGTGCGTTCACAGAAACTTTCAGCATCTGGCACATTGATGGAAAAACTCTAATTATAGTCATTCACTATGCAAAGATCACCGTAATCAAGCCATCAAAGCTAGCAAGTCATTTTCGACTCAGTGCGCTAGATGGTGAGAGTTTATGTACGCAGACAAAGCTAATCGCCTGCCTAGCAGGCTCAGCTTTAGTAGATTTTTGCATAATTTCATCTAATAATCTATAATAATCATTTTCTTCGCTTTTCTATTTCAATTTGATCTTGAGAGATGAGAGAGTTTTCTCCGCTATTTTAGACTTTTTCATTTTGTTCTCCAAGAATCCACATATCCTGGTTGAAATCCGTAGCAAATTTGAATATTCTACTGTAGTTATCTGTTAGATTGGGATTCCTGAGTAAAACGGAAAAACAAAAGCTTTTGGCTGCACAGGGGATCGAACCCTCAAGTCTGAACCTGGGATCGAGCGACAATCCAACGCGCTAACCACTTGGCGAACCGGTCTTGTTGCTGGCCAGCAAAAGAAAGCCCCTTTTAACCGTCATCTGGATTTCTAAGTGAAATGGAAAAACAAAAGATTTTTGGCTGCGAAGGGGATCGAACCCTCAAGTCTCAAACGCCCCGACCGATCGACAATCCAGCACGCTAACCACTCGGCCAACCGGCGTCCTTTGTGACTAGCAAAAAAAAGCCCCTTTTAACCGTCATTATCTCAAAAATCTCAATCTACCCTACTTTTGCCGAATTTTCGCACTTTAGCATAGCTTTTTATTTTCATTTCCGTTTCCTATTTGGTGGCAATTTTCTTCTTCTTACAGTAATCACAAATATCATGCTTTAGCTTTTTCCCAAAAAAAAACCCCGACTTTTTCGTCATAATCTTTGTGATTTCCCATTAAAATAGTTAAATTTAGCATATCCTTTTGAAAATTTACATACAGTACTGGACATAGAAATATGATATTTGAAAAAGAGATCGTCACTTTCGCGCGTCTGTAACTCCCTTGTCTTTGAGTTTAAACTATTAGTGTTTGACATTTTCTGAAAGCTCTTTTCAAGGGCTCCACAATAGTAATATTAATATTTAGAAATACGGTAAAAACAAGGGAGTTACAGACGTGCGAAAGTGACGATCGTTTTTCAAATATCATATTTCGTTGTCCAGTAGTGTAGCTCTAAGATTTATAAGAAGATAAGATCCTTTTGAACATTTACATATTTTCGACTTTTCCACAGATTCCGGTACATTTAGATTTTAGTCTTTTATTAAAAAAAATTTTGACTTTCCACATTTTCGCATTTTTTTTTCTTTTTTTTTCTTTTTTTTTGATGTTTCTCCCCGAATTCTGGTCGTTTTTTTCTAAGCATTTTTACGATAAATTATTTAAAGTTTTAAAAATATTACTTTTTTTGATGAAAATACACTTTTTGTGCTTTAGATTTAGCAAAATTCCCTTTTCATTTCATTTCTTTTTTTGAATTTTCGAATTTTTTTTTTGGATACTGTGATAAAAATGATTTAAAAACACAAAAAACACAAAAAACGCAAAAAAAAAACACAAAAATTCAATTGTAAAATGAAAAATGGGAAACTTAAACTTAATTTTGGTCGAAAATAGAATAGAAAATAGAAAATAGACCTTTAACCGAAATGATCTTTTGAAGTCTTCTAGTTTAAGCAATTTGACCAATTTTGAGCAACACTTGTTGAGAAAATCGCCATCAATACTTCAGCCCTCCTAGGTGAGCCTTTTTGGAGACCTGTGTCCTCTCGATTTTCTCAAAGAAGGAAGAGCTCTTCAATCTACTGATGGATACTCACAAACGACTAGGACACGCTGGACGCGATTTTATGTGGAAGGAATATCTAGATATTCCTTCCACATAAAATCGCGTCCAGCGTGTCCTAGTCGTTTGTGAGTATCCATCAGTAGATTGAAGAGCTCTTCCTTCTTTTCGCGACTATCATGGAAAAGCAAACGGGGATTATTGAAATTTTTGTCAAGCTTTGTGACGAATGCGAGCTGAAGAAGGGTATACCCAATCAATTGTGGCCTTTTTGGAGACCTGTGTCCTCTCAATTTTCTCAAAGAAGGAAGAGCTCTGATGCTCTGAAGAGCTCAATCTACTGATGGATACTCACAAACGACTAGATCCGGAGTAAACTTTCAAAAACCAACCAAAAAACCAAAAATGCCCAAAAATTTCTTTTTTTTTTTTTAATATGACTTTGCCGCTGTTTGCGTGTGGTAACTCAATTTTATAACTATACCAGCAACGAATAAACAAGATGCACGATTAATGCAAGAATATAAACATAAACCAAACATAATAATTAAATAAATTTGTGAAGTACAACAGTGACTATTTCCTTTGACACATTCACGAATACACTTGTCACACTCGCAACGATAGACATTCTTCTCCTTACTGCGAGTCTTCATTTTACGACCACATCCACATTCCGGTGCTGCAAGGATTCCTGCTTGAACAAAAATGTCAAATCGCATAACGCTCGGAAAGCGCGCTCACCTGAAACTATCACATTCTGAAAAAAAGACTTTTGATAGTATCTTAGTTGGGGGGCCATTTTTTTCTTTGGGTTGGGCATCTACAAAGTGCGTCATAATTATTGCAACAAGAGTTCAAAGACCGTTTGTGATGTCAAGAATGTGATGTCATGGGCGTGTAAAGCCAATAACAATCAAAATTGGACCTTCATGCAAGATGGAGCTCCCGCTCACACGAAGAAGACGGTTCAGGACTGGTGTGTGGCCAACTTTCCCTCAGTGATCACCAAGGATGAATGGCCTCCAAACTCACCGGATCTCAATGTGATGAACTTTTCCATTTGGGCAATCTTAGAGGCTAATGTCTGCTCTCGAAAACACAAAGGATGATTTGACCAAAGGATGGAAGGCGATTCCTCAAGATGACATTCGGGCCGCAGTAGAGGCATATCCGAACCGATTAAGGACTGTTATCAAGGCAAAAGACGGTCATATCGAATGATCTCTTGTTTTCTTATTTGTTACTGTTCAATAATGCTATTTCTGTTTAAAAATCTTCTTCCGGTGAAACTTCTTGGTGTGCAATTTCTTGGTGTGCAATGCCTTGAGTATCTTGTTGCAATAATTATGACGCACCCTGTACACATCAACATCAACACATAAAACTACCCCAAAAATGGTTTTGAAGAAAAAAAAGTGACCCGCCAACCAGGATAGTATCAACATTTCTAATAATGACATAAAAAAGTTTTGTAGAAGTTACGTTTTTGATCGCGTGTCACCTCGAATCACGTAATCAAGTAATCGCCTCGAATAAATTGAATATCTTTACATTTGAAGGGAATTTGCCACCAAATCACTTAAGCGGCTGAATATCTTTTATCTCGGCTGAAAAAAGGGGTCGTATATAACGTATATGTCGTAGCCGTTTACGAAATTCAGCCGCTAACGAATGAGGGTATTTCCGGGCATCCAATCAAAAAGTCACCCACATAAAAAATGTTTATAATACATACATTTTATAATAAATTTTTGAAATTAGCTCATTTGGTTCAGTAGAAAATTTTTTTTGAGCCCCGAAAGTTTAGGTTCAAAAATGCCCTAAAATGGCTATAAAAAATTCTCTACTCAGCCAAAAAACTTGCCTAATAGCTCATTTTGTAGCCAATTTGATGTAGTTTCTTAAAGTAAAGCTACATTGAACATTTGTTTTTCAAAGCTAGGAGAAAGAGGGCGAAGAACGACTTCAGTTGAACTCGGTCGCTGTTTTCACATTTGAGAATTGCCCTGAATTTGTTCCTCGCCCTCTTTCTCCTACTTTCAACGAAAAATTGTTTTAGATGGCTTTACTTAAAGAAACTACATCAAATTGGCTACAAAATGAGCTATTAGGCAAGTTTTTTGGCTGAGTAGAAAATTTTTTATAGTCATTTTAGGGCATTTTTGAACCTAAACTTTGGGGGCTCAAAAAAAATTTTCTATTTAACTAAATGAGCTAATTTCAAAAATTTACTATAAAATATATGTATTATGAACATTTTTTATGTGGGTGACTTTTTGATTGGATGCCCGGAAATACCCTCATTCGTTAGCGGCTGAATTTCGTAAACGGCTACGACATATATAAAATTTTACCCCACCGCACATCGGCGCGAAAATGCGTTTTCTATCGGATTTTTCCGGGAGTACCTTTTTTAGATGCGGAAAATTGTGCTGATTCCGAATCTGAAGGAATTTTTCAAATCCCCTTGACAGAAATTTTTTAAATTGAGTTTTAGCGGTTTTTTGGTCATTTTGTATGGAGAAATTTTGTGGTACCCTGCAGTTTGGGGCTCGTCACTCGATAATCAGGGTCTAGAACAAAAAACGAGGGGATAATTTTTATTCTAGAGACTCTCAGGAACATTTTGATACAAAAATCATCAAATTTGCTCAACTCTACAAAAAGTTATAACATTTTTAAAAAAAGAAATGAGAAAATTTAAAAAATTCTCTATTGCCCAATTTTTTTTGTTCAAAAGAACAATGTAGCTATGTATCGTATTCACTCAAAACAATTAAGGAATATGCAAAATAATAGCTCAAGTGCGCGGGAGAGCCGAACCAACAACCCCATACTTTTGCGCTGGATTGACGTCGCGCGCCTTA